CCATATCGAATCAAAGATTAATATATGGAAGAAGCAATACAATTCTGTGTCTGGTATGCTTGCTACTAGTGGCCTATTTTTATTTGATAATAAAAAAAGAATTGGCGTAGAGAGTAATAGTATATGGAAGACATATGTTCAGGTAAAGTTATCTCCTCTTAGTTATTTACGTACTATTTCATATATGTAGTTTAACCTTATGTTGAAGATATTAATTGGGATTAGTTGGTCATTGTAGATGGACAACGATGCAAAACACCTGAGGAACAAAACTTTCCGACATTTCGATGAATGGATTCAAATATTTGGCAAAGATCGAGCTACATGAGAGTTTGCTGAAGGCCCTGCTGATGCAGTTGAGGCTATGAATGCTGAGGAAGATGTGTTGTTGCATGGTCTTGCAGATAATGACACTTTTCTGGAACAAATGGGATTAAATAGTCAGACTAGTGAAGCAATGGACTATTCAAACTCAGCAACTCAACGACCTTTTGATAGTTCTACCAAAAAGAAAGACAAGAAAAGACCTAGAGCCAATGATGAAGTAGTTGAAGGGCTGACCATGTTTGCTGACAAGTTGGTGGATGTCTTGGGAACAACCAATGATAAGCTAGAATTCATTGGAAAAGGAATGGGGTATTCACATGATCTTGCATCTAAACGGGCATCACTAAATGATGAACTTATGAAGTTGCCAATTACTGTAGATGAAAGGTTAGATGCTTGTGAAATCATATCCCACGATGTCCAAAATTTTGACATGTTCTTCAGTTTGACACATGATGATAGGCTAAGGTGGGTGATGAGGTTGCTAAGTAGGCATGCTCCATAATAAACTTGTTGCATTTCATTGGAGTATTTTCTTTTGGGCCATGATTTGATATGCATGGTAGGGAATGCTTTTTGTTAAGTCTATTATAAATTTGTTGATAGACTTAATTATTGCTTCTTTTGTGTACAAGCACCCGTGTTTTGTTAACTATAATTGGGATGCTTTTTATATATTGTTTTTGTGGTTGGCTTTGTATAGTATCTTTGCTTTAGACTTCGGATCATAATAGAAATTGTGAAGTGTCCTTATTAGCTCTTTTTATTTTTCTATTTTTCCCCCTCTCAATTAAACTTTATTTCCTTTTGGGATGCATGTTGAGAAACACAGCCTTTATGGTGTTTATATTGCCACCTAATTAAATAATTGAATAATTGAAATTGTATATATTGCCTTTATGGTGTTTATATTGCCAAATAATTGAATATATTGCCAAAGCTTTAACATCAACTACTGACAATTTTTGATGTTCAATGTGACGCGGTATATTTGTCTACCTTTGCAAAAAAAGAGGTTATCATTTTGTATAAAAAGAACTTCGGGGCATTGTTGGATATGCTAGTCTAGCTAGATGTTTAGTTGCACGCTTGAAAAAATTGTGTTTTCAGATTTATGAAACATAACAGTTTTTTAAGTATCTTTGTCATGTTATTATCACAATTGCTACCTTGTCCTGATCTACTAGAATTAGGCATGAAGTCAAAAAAATTTCATATTTAGTGCATTCATGGTATTAATTATACTTAATAAAGTATAAATAAAATTTAAAAATCTCAATTACAAATTAAAATAAATTTATGTAATATTTATTAATATTTTAAAAGTTCTAGTAAACAAATTAAATAGAATTTATAATTCAGATTTAATATTCTTATTATTTGGTAAATAATTCAAAAGGGTAAAATAGTCTTTTAAACATTTATCATTCTCCATAATATCCCAAACAAACATGAGATTCAATAGAATAGTCCAATCCAGACCTCTAATCCCATGACTAAACAAACATAGGATACAAATCCAGTCTAACCAAATAGTCCAAGGACAATGTATCCCAGGACTAACAGTCTGATGGATTACAATTCTCCCTTATCCAGTCCGTCCAAATAAACATACCCTTAGTGTCAATGGGGACCATGTTTGTTTGTTTGTTTGTTTTTTTTTTTGTGTCTGCAGGTCATTATGTTGTGCCTAATTAACATTAATAGATCTGCAACTTTCAATATAAATATTTGATTTTTTCTTTTTTTTTTTTTGAATATATTGGAAAGCCATAACATTGATGGGTTGGTTAGTTTAGTGAAATTTTATTCTTTTCCTTTATCTTTTTATTTTTTATTTTTTTTTATATGAAAATTTTGGAGTTTATTTTTTCATGGAAATTTTTTTCCTAAAGGTATAATTCCCTTTGTTTATCAGGTTTTTTTTTCCTAAAGGTAGAATTCCCTTTGTTTATCAGGTTTAACCACATTATTTTGGATCGTAAGAATTCTTACGTTTTGTGTTAGAGGAAAAAAATTTTCAAAAAAATAATAAATAAATTCACTTTTTAAATTGAGTGATGTGAGATATTGGGGTGCGGCTCAATAATTTAGTAGCTACATCTTAGGGTGTAATTAGTGGGAGGTCAAGGATTCGAGTTGATAGAGCAACAACAGTGGCCCTTCAGTTATAATCTAACTATCCTAACATACTAACGTTATCTCAGGAAAAAAAAATTCAGTGATGTGAAAGATGGATGATTAGTTAAGTCACCTTAAATATTTTAGTTGATTGTCCTATCATTAAATTTAAAAATTAAATCTAACTTTTGGATTAAAATAAAAGTGCCCAATATGATAACTAAAGAAGCAACTTGGTAGGCCCATTTAAGAACAGATTTCAGTGATTCGAACCATTCACTTTTTTTTTTGACTCATTGAGTAGAATATTTATATAAAAACTAAGATGATTGAACATCGGTAGCTATATGTTTGAATCATAGTTGTTTTTAAAAAATGGACGGCAAATATAATTTGAATAATAATCATTAATTTTCATTAATTTTTTATAATACAAATTTGATTTAAACATATAGTTACAGATATCTAATTATCTTGATTTTTTGCATTAATATTTTCCTCAATAAGTCTTAAAAAGTGAACGGTTTAGATCATCGAATCAAAATCTGTGGTTGGCTCCACGGCTCTCTCAAATTCTCTCATGTTGAGATGTGAATATGAGAAAAACTGAATCCCATACGTAATTTCATTTTCTCACTTTAAGGCATCGTTTGTTAATTATATATTTTAGTCAAAAAAATTAAAAAGTTGCTATAATTTATCAAATCACTATCTTTATTTTTTTACATATCTTTTTATAAAAAATAAAAAATTACTAAAATAACATATTCCAAACGAGGCCAAAGGCACAATATAATGGAGCACAAATCAATAAAAACACAATTGACCTATTGACTTGTCTTGAAGGATGTGAAAATCAAATAGAAATAAGATTATATGTACTAGCATTTTCTTCTTCATTTTTTCTTTTTTTTGTTTTTTTAAATATTGGAGGCATTTTCCAGTTTAAAATGTATGAATTGGATTTGATTCAGGTATAACCCACATTACACGTTAAGAGCATCTCCAACGGTGAATAAGATTTTTCATCAAATTTGAGTAAAAAATGATCTATTTTACTAAATTTGATACCACTCGCTCCAACGGTGCACTTTCATCAAATTTGTGCCGGGGGCAACCGGTTGGTCGACTGGTTAAGCGAAATTTTTTTTTTTTGGAACTTTTTGAACCTTTTAGTGGTCGACCGGTAAGGTAAAAAAAATTTTTTTTTTTAACTGTTTGAACCTTTTTTTGGAACTGTTTGAACTTTTTGGTGATCGATCGGTTGGTCAACTGGTTGGTCTCCCCCAACGGTCATGCACAACCGGTTGGTCTCTCCCAACGGTTAGGAACAGTGATTTGGTAAAATGCTTCGCCTGTTCTCATTTTGGTAAAAGATTTGCTGAATTCTGGATTTGATATCGATTTGGTGAAACCGTTGGAGCTCAAAAAAGTGACTTTTTCATCAAATTTTAAATTTGATATCAGATTTGATGAACCGTTAGAGATGGTCTAAGTTAAAATCTAAACTATATATGCATGCAAATTTTAGATGAATTTTGGAATAATTTTTTCAAGGAAAAAATTATTTGAATAATTCTATAAACTCCACTTTAACTATACTGAATTTATCCCACATGAAGGCAGACGGTTGAGATTAAATTTATGTAGTATGACATTTATGTATAGAATAAATCTAAATCACAATATGATAATTCTAAATAATTTATGAATAGATAAGTTTGTATTTGTAATATTTTTGAAGTTATCCTCCTAAAAGTTTGTACAAAGTAATTCACCAGATTTACATCATAGTAACTTTTTTTTATGAATAAAAATGTGTTTTGAGAAAATTTTAAAGACTCAAAACGAAAAATATTACTTTATACATTTTCTTTTACTTTTTATTTTTTTATTTTTTTTATATCATTAATCTTGTTGTCCGGCATTCGTGTTGTACATCATCCACCACCACCTTTTTAGCCCGTCTATAAAAGGTCCGCATAGTCTACCCTCATTTTATCCAACTAAATTACCAGACACACACATAGATTCAGAATGATGAGGAAGCTAGGCACAATCGTAGTACTTTGCTCAATGGCAATTGCTATGCCAGTGTTTTGTAGCATTGCCGAGGATCCCAAAGAAGTGGAGCAATGGTTCCACGACTTCACCACAAAAGCAGACCAAAAAGTGACCAAACTTCACTTCTACTTCCAAGATTTGAGGGACATAACCACAACCATAGTGGCTCAATCCAACACCAGCCTCACATCCCCCACTTTCTTCGAGCAAGGATCCTCTAAAGTGATTTTTTCCTAAAGTTTCCTAGAGTGCTACATTGTGTGGTTGAGATTTACTGGCAAGTCACATCAATTTTTCTGATGTGACTTGCCAGTAAATCTCAACCATACAATGTAGCACTCTAGGAAACTTTAGGAAAATTTCACTCTAGAGGATCCTTGGTGACTTTCTTCGGCCTAATCTACATGGTGGACGATCCACTGACAGTCGGTCCTTCACAAGCTTCCAAGGCGGTGGGTCGAGCGCAGGGACTGTACGGTTTTTCCTCGAAAGAGGACATGCGTCTGATTATGGCCATTGATATAGTTTTCACCGATGGAACCTACAATAGAAGCACTCTCACTGTTTTGGGCTCCAACCCAGTAACTCAGACGAAACGCGAATTGCCGGTGATCGGAGGGACTGGTGTTTTCAGGCTGGCCCGTGGTGTTGCTCTGTTAAACACCTATTTTCTCAATGCTGCCTTGGGTAATGCCATTGTCGAGTACACTGTTATAGTTCAACATTATTAAGTTTTAAGTTGTAGTAGTAATGGTGGAGAGTCTTCTTATTCTCTGCCTAGTTTGTTTCCTTTCTGTTTTCATGTTATGCCTGCCTGTTTTATTTTTTGTTTTATTTATTTTTTCCCCTCGTCTTGTTAGGCATGCTGTGTGTCGTTTGCTGGAATTGTGTGGATTTTTATGGTATTTGTGTGCGGTCGTCATCAAGCTTTGAGTTTTGATTGTTGTTTGTTGTGACATATGTGTTTGGTTCTGTGAATGAATATGTTATGTAAGAAAAAGCATGCAATGCAACTGCACTTAAATCAAATAATTAACCTCTCTTTTGTATAACACATGGTGACTTTCTCTTTCTTTCTTTTTCTTTTTATTTTTTAATTTTCTCTTTTTTCATATCATAAGTTTTTTAAAACTAGACAAAAAAGCACAAATGACCAACATAGGAACCTTTTACAGCAATTATATGTGTGGTTGTCAATGAATGGTGTTCCCTCTCATTAGTGTTTCTGTTTCATTGAACGTGACAGAATCTAAAACTGCAACATAACACAAGTGCAAGGCCATGACTGCTTAAATGAGTTCCAAGCATAGGGAAATAATTTGCATCCTTAAAAAGAGGTGCATATGTTAAAAAAAATAAAAAAAATTGATACATAAGTTTACTTTCTAGACCTAATAATGTAAATGAGATAATTAGTTAATAATTAGAGAATATATTAGAACAAGAGTTGCCTTAGATATTTTAATAGATTATCATATTATTGGATTTGAAAAGTGAATCTAATTTTTAAACTTAGATAGCATCATCTTAAAAAAATTTATAATTTTTGTGGTGAAAATTCATATGAAAGGTAAAAGGAAAAATCTTTGGTGTGCATTGCATACTATATACTACCCTACAAAAAATTATATAAATTTTTATGAACTTACATAAGTGGTTTCGCAAAAATGAGTATGTTCAACATAAATTAGTGTAATTATATAAATTTTTATGAACTTATACAAATTTTTATGCATTTTTGTATAATCACTTATATAAATTCGTGAAAACTTACATAATTTTATATAAAGTTACATACGGTGTACATTGCATAGCGAAGCATTTCTCTGCAAATTTTGGTGATCCAAACATTTATTGTGCAATTTTATTAGAAATGTTGAATTTTTTTAAACCATGACTTATAAATTAATGTGGCAGGGGTTGACTGATTTCTAAACTAATTGATAACTAACATAGAATAGTCCACATTATTATCTAAAAATTCAAGCGTCTCAAGTTTTTTTTTTTTTTTGCTTTTGTTTTTCCAACAAATACGAAGAAATTATTCAATACTTTCCTAGTGATACTCTATCCTATTTAAAGGTTGACACTTAACACATTATCTTTTCGAACTCCAATACAAAAATGATGCACCATATGATTTAGATCGATATCTATTAATTTAGAGCAACATCTAACTTTATTATAAAAAGATTGAAGGGTCTTGTTAACGTCAACCCTTAAAGTGTATGTTAAGAAAACCTAAAAGATATTGAACATTTTTAATTGCACTCATTTTTATGATACACTACAAAAAAAATTAAAGTTTTAGAAATCAAAATATAGGAATAATTTTTTTTAGGGACTAAATATTTTTGTTGCGAAAAGTGTCGTCATTATATTTTTAACAACGAAATTGGATATAAGTGATGAATTATTATTTTTTTGGACCAAATTTTGTCCTAAAAAATAAGCTTTTTTGAAACTAAATTATGTTGTCCCTAAAAATGTATTTATTAGTGACATTTTTAAAATTTTGTCCCTAAAACGTTTTTTTTTTTTAATTTTTCGATACGACCTTTTAACGACTATTCTCATGTCGATAGAAGTTGATCCTTAAATGTCTTTTGTAACAAAATTTTTCTTTTTAAAGATCAAAACATTTTGTTAGGACCCTTTGTTGTCAAATTCCATGGAAAAAACTAAGGTTGTAATAAGATTGTAATTTTCTAGTTTTCCAGTTTTTGGCTTCCCGCTTGAGCGGGGTTTGCACTCTCACAGCATCTGTTACGCCTGCAAAAATACTGGGTGATGTGATTGTATGCTCGAGCATGAGATCTTCTGCTCGAGCGTGAACCTTGTATGAAACATGCAAAATGGAGTCTCCGCTCGAGCGGGCATTCCCACATTCAAATGGACCGCGCGACCTCAATTACTATATATTCGTGTGTTGGTTCCATACTAGGGTTACTTTTCCTAGATCTTGTTTAAGAGTCTTAGGGTTTTGTTTGATGTTTTCTTCTGAAAGTCATGTTGAGTTTTCCTTGATGATTTGAGTGAGTTCTAAACTGATGATCTAAGATACATACATCAAGAAGTTTGTTACTTCATATTCAAGAGTGTTCTTCTTTGGTGGATTCCGAAGATTTAAGTGTGGAATTTCAAAGGAGTTTGATTCTGTATGTAGTCGTTGATTCGACAAGTGAAGTTATGGATTTAACTTCAGATAAATCGGTTCCGAGGCAAAGGCTTGGTAAAAGAGTTACAGAAGGTTTGAAGACAAATTAGATGAACTGGGTAATTTGTTTGTTAGCTCTGTAATCTTTCTTTCTTCAGTAGTGGATTGATTAGTGGCGTTTCGCCCGTGATTTTTGATTACAACTGAAGGTTCTTTAATTGTAGTTTTTCTACGTAAAAACCGTTTATGTCGATTTATTGTTTATTTCGAAAACAGCAATCTAAATTACTTTCGTAAGTGCTTGATGATTTAGATTGAGTGTTTTGAATGATTAGGAATTGAAATATTTTAATCTTGATCTAATCACGAATCACTTAGGATTTTCAATTGGTATCAGAGCAGGTCACTCTTTGTTTTTATCAAAACTGTAGGAGTGTGATTTTGTGTGACTAGTGATATGGATTCAATTCATGAAGGTAACTCGACCCATAGACCTCATTTACTCAATGGTACAAACTATTCTTATTGAAAAGCTCGTATGAGAGCGTTTTTAAAATCCATCGATGAGAAAGTTTGGCACTGCGTGATCTATGGATGAAGTGAACCTATTGTCACGATTGATGGTATTGATATTCCTAAACCCCTTGATAAATAGGACACAATCGATTACCAAAACTCGAGTTGGAACACTAAGGCTCTCAGTTCTCTTTTTTGCTCCGTCACACCTGAAAAGTTTCGTCGTATCTGCATGCGTGAGGTAGCAAAAGAGGCTTGGGACATTCTTGAAACAGTTCACGAAAGTACTGTTTCTGTCAAAAGGTCAAAATTTCAACGTCTCACCTCTTCCTTTGAAACGCTTTTTATGCGTGATGATGAGACGTTTGATGATTTTTATGCAAAACTTAGTGACATCGTGAATTCCTGTTTCACACTCGGTGAAAAAATCCCTGAAGCTAAAGTTGTTGGAAAAATTTTGAGGTCTTTACCCGAGAGGTTTCAATCAAAAGTGACAGCCATTGAGGAGGCTCAGAATGTTGATACCCTCAAGCTTGATCAGTTGGTTGGAAACTTGCAGACTTATGAAGCTCACCAGATTTCTAAGAAAAAACAAAAAGATAGTGTGGCTTTCACTAGTGCTCATGAGACTGTAAAAACTCTGGAGACTGAGTTTGATTTAGAGTCTAAAATGATGGCTATGTTTACTAAACAGTTTAAAAAAATTTTGAAAAAAAAGAAGTCTAATTTTAGAGACCCTATTTTAAAAGACAAGAGTAATGAAAAACTCAAAACTTTTCCACCAAAACTTTCTCTAAAAACTGAAAAGAAGATTGTAAAGGGGCAAGGGGTCAAGTGTTATGAATGTCAAGGGTTTGGCCATATTGCTCTTCAATGTCCCTCGAAAAAGAATCAGAAAAAAGTCTACACAGTGACTTGGGATGATGAAAGCGGGTCGGAGCAAGAACCCGAAGAACCTGAATCCGGTGAAGATGGGGATAGTGCTTTCATGGCATTTTGGTTCACTTTCACTCAACCTCTTCCAAAGCCAGTGGAATTAGTTTGTGGTCATCATGCTTCCACCTTTGATGGGAGTAACTACTTGTATTGGAAGATTAGAATGAGGGCGTTTCTGAGAGCTTTCGATCCAGAAAGCTGGTAAGCCATTGAAGAGGATGTTGAAAGTGTTGACAATTCAAGCAATCAGAGAGTTCTGACTACTATTCGTGGAGCTATTTCTGATGAAGAACCACAACGGGTTGCTCACTACACAAAGGTTAAAGATGCAGGGGACATTCTGAGCTAATTTCATGAAAGAGGAGAGTCATCTTCACCACCATCCATCACTTTTTCTTCTTTAGTTACCCGACTGGATGAGATCAATGAGAATGAGGAGCAAAAAGATGATGATGAAACATCAGAAGACAATGATGAAATTATTGGTGATGATCTACAACAAGCTTACGAAAAGCTTTACGATGAATCTCTGAACCTGTCTAAAATCAATGACAAACTCACTCTCAAGCTCAAAGCATGTGAAAGCGAGAATGTCAAGCTAAAATGAGAACTTGTAGTAGCAAAGCAGAATGTCATCAAGATCTCAAGTGACAGGCAAGACCTATGTGGAAAACTTTTATCCTGTGAAACTGAAAGGATTGCCAGTAAATCTCAACCATACAATGTAGCACTCTAGGAAACTTTAGGAAAATTTCACTCTAGAGGATCCTTGGTGACTTTCTTCGGCCTAATCTACATGGTGGACGATCCACTGACAGTCGGTCCTTCACAAGCTTCCAAGGCGGTGGGTCGAGCGCAGGGACTGTACGGTTTTTCCTCGAAAGAGGACATGCGTCTGATTATGGCCATTGATATAGTTTTCACCGATGGAACCTACAATAGAAGCACTCTCACTGTTTTGGGCTCCAACCCAGTAACTCAGACGAAACGCGAATTGCCGGTGATCGGAGGGACTGGTGTTTTCAGGCTGGCCCGTGGTGTTGCTCTGTTAAACACCTATTTTCTCAATGCTGCCTTGGGTAATGCCATTGTCGAGTACACTGTTATAGTTCAACATTATTAAGTTTTAAGTTGTAGTAGTAATGGTGGAGAGTCTTCTTATTCTCTGCCTAGTTTGTTTCCTTTCTGTTTTCATGTAATGCTTCTCTGTTTTATTTTTTGTTTTATTTATTTTTTCCCCTCGTCTTGTTAGGCATGCTGTGTGTCGTTTGTTGGAATTGTGTGGATTTTTACGGTATTTGTGTGCGGTCGTCATCAAGCTTTGAGTTTTGATTGTTGTTTGTTGTGACATATGTGTTTGGTTCTGTGAATGAATATGTTATGTAAGAAAAAGCATGCAATGCAACTGCACTTAAATCAAATAATTAACCTCTCTTTTGTATAACACATGGTGACTTTCTCTTTCTTTCTTTTTCTTTTTATTTTTTAATTTTCTCTTTTTTCATATCATAAGTTTTTTAAAACTAGACACAAAAGCACAAATGACCAACATAGGAAGCTTTTACAGCAATTATATGTGTGGTTGTCAATGAATGGTGTTCCCTCTCATTAGTGTTTCTGTTTCATTGAACGTGACAGAATCTAAAACTGCAACATAACACAAGTGCAAGGCCATGACTGCTTGAATGAGTTCCAAGCATAGGGAAATAATTTGCATCCTTAAAAAGAGGTGCATATGTTAAAAAAAAAATAAAAAAATAAAAAAAAAATTGATACATAAGTTTACTTTCTAGACCTAATAATGTAAATGAGATAATTAGTTAATAATTAGAGAATTTATTACAACAAGAGTTGCCTTAGATATTTTAATAGATTATCATATTATTGGATTTGAAAAGTGAATCTAATTTTTAAACTTAGATGGCATCATCTTAAAAAAATTTATAATTTTTGTGGTGAAAATTCATATGAATGGTAAAAGGAAAAATCTTTGGCATGCATTGCATACTATATACTACCCTACAAAAAATTATATAAGTTTTTATGAACTTACATAAGTGGTCTCGCAAAAATGAGTAAGTTCAACATAAATTAGTGTAATTATATAAATTTTTATGAACTTATGCAAATTTTTATGCATTTTTGTATAATCACTTATGTAAATTCGTGAAAACTTACATAATTTTATATAAAGTTACATACGGTGTACATTGCATAGCGAAGCATTTCTCTGCAAATTTTGGTGATCCAAACATTTATTGTGCAATTTTATTAGAAATGTTGAATTTTTTTAAACCATGACTTATAAATTAATGTGGCAGCGGTTGACTGATTTCTAAACTAATTGATAACTAACATAGAATAGTCCACATTATTATCTAAAAATTCAAGCGTCTCAAGTTTTTTTTTTTGGCTTTTGTTTTTCCAACAAATACGAAGAAATTATTCAATACTTTCCTAGTGACACTCTATCCTATTTAAAGGTTGACACTTAACGCATTATCTTTTAGATCTCCAATACAAAAATGATGCACCATATGATTTAGATCGATATCTATTAATTTAGAGCAACATCTAACTTTATTATATAAAGATTGAAGGGTCTTGTTAACGTAAACCCTTAAAGTGTATGTTAAGAAAACCTAAAAGATATTGAACATTTTTAATTGCACTCATTTTTATGATACACTACAAAAAAAAAATTAAAGTTTTAGAAATCAAAATATAAGAATAATTATTTTTAGGGATTAAATATTTTTGTTGCGAAAAGTGTCGTCATTATATCTTTAACAACGAAATTGGATATAAGTGATGAATTATTATTTTTTTGGACCAAATTTTGTCCTAAAAAATAAGCTTTTTTGAAACTAAATTATGTTGTCCCTAAAAATGTATTTATTAGTGACATTTTTAAAATTTTGTCCCTAAAACGTTTTTTTTTATTTTTTTATTTTTCGATACGACCTTTTAACGACTATTCTCACGTCGATAGAAATTGATCCTTAAATGTCTTTTGCAACAAAATTTTTCTTTTTAAAGATGAAAACATTTTGTTAGGACCCTTTGTTGTCAAATTCCATGGAAAAAACTAAGGTTGTAATAAGATTGTAATTTTCCAATTTTCCAGTTTTTGGCTTCTTGCTCGAGCGGGGTTTGCACTCTCACAGCATCTGTTACGCCTGCAAAAATACTGGGTGATGTGATTGTACGCTCGAGCATGAGATCTTCCGCTCGAGCGTGAACCCTGTATGAAACATGCAAAATGGAGTCTCCGCTCGAGCGGGCATTCCCACACTCAAACGGACCGCGCGATCTCAATTACTATATATTCGTGTGTTGGTTCCATACTAGGGTTACTTTTCTTAGATCTTGTTTAAGAGTCTTAGGGTTTTGTTTGATGTTTTCTTCTGAAAGTCATGTTGAGTTTTCCTTGATGATTTGAGTGAGTTCTAAACTGATGATCTAAGATACATACATCAAGAAGTTTGTTACTTCATATTCAAGAGTGTTCTTCTTTGGTGGATTTCGAAGATTTAAGCGTGGAATTTCAAAGGAGTTTGATTCTGTACGTAGTCGTTGATTCGACAAGTGAAGTTATGGATTTAACTTTAAATAAATCAGTTCCGAGGTGAAGGCTTGGTAAAAGAGTTACAGAAGGTTTGAAGACAAATTAGATGAATTGGGTAATTTGTTTGTTAGCTCTGTAATCTTTCTTTCTTCAGTAGTGGATTAATTAGTGGCTTTTAGCCCGTGTTTTTTTATTACAACTGAAGGTTCTTTAATTGTAGTTTTTCTACGTAAAAATCGTTTACGTCGAATTATTGTTTATTTCGAAAACAGCAATCTAAATTACTTTCGTAAGTGCTTGATGATTTAGATTGAGTGTTTGAATGATTAGGAATTGAAATATTTTAATCTTGATCTAATCACGAATCACTTAGGTTTTTCAATTGGTATCAGAGCAGGTCACTCTTTGTTTTTATCAAAACTGTAGGAGTGTGATTTTGTGTGACTAGTGATATTGATTCAATTCGTGAAGGTAACTCGACCCATAGACCTCCTTTACTCAATGGTACAAACTATTCTTATTGAAAAGCTCGTATGAGAGCGTTTTTAAAATCCATTGATGAGAAAGTTTGGCACTGCGTGATCTATGGGTAAAGTGAACCTATTGTCACGATTGATGGTATTGATATTCCTAAACCCCTTGATAAATAGGACACAATCGATTACCAAAACTCGAGTTGGAACACTAAGGCTCTCAGTTCCCTTTTTTGCTCCGTCACACCTGAGGTAGCAAAAGAGGCTTGGGACATTCTTGAAACAATTCACGAAGGTACTGTTTCTATCAAAAGGTCAAAATTTTAACGTCTCACCTCTGCCTTTGAAACCCTTTTTATGCGTGATGATGAGACGTTTGATGATTTTTATGCAAAACTTAGTGACATCGTGAATTCCTGTTTCACACTCGGTGAAAAAATCCCTGAAGCTAAAGTTGTTGGAAAATTTTGAGGTCTTTACCCGAGAGGTTTCAATCAAAAGTGACAGCCATTGAGGAGGCTCAGAATGTTGATACCCTCAAGCTTGATCAGTTGGTTGGAAACTTGCAGACTTATGAAGCTCACCAGATTTCTAAGAAAAAACAAAAAGATAGTGTGGCTTTCACTAGTGCTCATGAGACTGCAAAAACTCTGGAGACTGAGTTTGATTTAGAGTCTAAGATGATGGCTATGTTTACTAAACAGTTTTAAAAAATTTTGAAAAAAAAGAAGTCTAATTTCAGAGACCCTATTTTAAAAGACAAGAGTAATGAAAAACTCAAAACTTTTCCACCAAAACTTTCTCTAAAAACTGAAAAGAAGATTGTAAAGGGGCAAGGGGTCAAGTGTTATGAATGTCAAGGGTTTGGCCATATTGCCCTTCAATGTCCCTCGAAAAAGAATCGGAAAAAAGTCTACACAGTGACTTGGGATGATGAAAGCGGGTCGGAGTAAGAACCCGAAGAACCTGAATCCGGTGAAGATGGGGATAGTGCTTTCATGGCATTTTGGTCCACT